GGAAAAAGCACAAGTGGGTGATTTTTACATCATTGGTAAATAGGTTAGCGTGAGTTTCAAACCTAATTAGTATTATATTATTAAAATTAATTGTTTTTTCAAAGAATGGTTCAGAAATTTTAAAGTGGATTCCTGTGGAAAGGTTATAAATAATTATTATGGTTCATGTCTTTGACTGTTATTTTAAATGGCCTGCATACTGATTATTTCAATAAATCTACTCTCGTGTGAATGACTGCCTTTTGAGTCGTTTTCAGCTGAAATAAAGCTCTGGTACTTTCACCGGGTGGGATTTGGACTCATTATCATTCATTCATTCATTCATTCGTTCGTTCGTTAGTTCGTTCGTTCGTTCGTTCGTTCGTTCATTTTATTTATAGAGTGCCTTTCTGCCGCCAATCAAAGCAGCTTAAAGAACTGAACACAGCAATGTACTTCAAAAGCACTAAAAAAGACTAAAAGGAGTGATGCTTGGTATTTCTTTGTGATTATCATGCTACATGTTGAGCTACATGTGGAACAGATGGCTCACTCTGCTGATGATTTATGCTGCAAAGAACCCTTGTCCTTGTTGTCTTCTGCTCACATGGGTCCAGGCTGAGGGGGCAGCTGCCCCAGCAGGGAAGCCCAGACTTTCCTCTCCATTCACTTTCACCAGGTCTTCCAGTGGCGCCTGAAACAATACCAAGGTCAGTTCATACATATAATCCCGCCAGTTGTCTCGGGCGCTTCATACCAGCAAGTAATGCCCAAATCACCTCTGCCAGAAAGTGTCCAGGAGGCATACTGACCAAACATCTGAACCACCTTAGCTGGCTCCTGGTGGAGGAGCCGCTCTAGTCCCAGGAAGCTCCTCGCCCGTAAGGCTGAGCCTGGCCAACCCAATGGAAAAACTCATTTCTCTAATTTCTTCAATCTTTTCACACAATAACTCCTCACGTTTTCTCACTCCTGGAATTTAAATCGAGATCAAAACAATTTCCAGGTACCTGCAAAATCTCTGAGATTATATTGAGAGAAAATATACCTCACAAAGTTATACGGCTCATGTAAGGAATTAAGAACTACAACGGTTCCATTTTGAAAACTTCCTCATGGATGCCATTTGCGATTTCTCCCCAACAGCTGAGATGCTGACCTCACATATAACTGTGCTTTTAACTAATAAATGGTTTTAAAGTATATTTGTCTCTTCATCAGTTTTTTCTAACCAAGTATAAACTATAACAGACGGTAAACAAAGCCCTTGACTTATATTTGCAGTAAAATATGCATGAGCTCATCGTGTTTTTTGGGTTTTGGGATTTTTGTGAGTGTGAAAATGTTTTAGCAGTTTAAAATAAGCTTTATAAAGCACAAGCAGTGATGTCAGACGGCATTCATTCTTTGACCATGAAGACCAGCCAAACAGGACGTGTTAGCTTGTGTCCTTGTGCTTCCTTCACATGTTTCATTTTCTTTCATCATATTGTGTTTGTGAGATCAATAATAAATAAATGTAAATCTTTAACGTTGTATTCCATCTTGTTCAGATATTGCTTCTGATCTACTTCTCATTATTAGTGCAGAACTAAAGGTGGCATTTTAGAGGTAGCCTCGCCTCTGTCGGTGTGCCACTGGGCAGCTGTGGCTAACCTGTAGCTCATCACCATCAGTGTGTGAATCTGTGTGTGAATGTTTATGTGAATGTGTGTGTGAATGGATGAATGATATACTGTGGTGTAGAGTGCTTTGCAGTCCTCTGACTCTGAAAGGCGCCATACAAGTGTGGGTTATTTATCATTTATCATCATTTATTACATCAGTGTTGTAAATTATTTGTTTTTAAGATCAAAAATCAAAGTATTTACTTTTAAGAAAATGTATCATACAGATTTGGATTTTAAAGTATACATATTTATATACATATATATATATATATATATATATATATATATATATATATATATATATGTGTGTGTGTGTGTGTGTGTGTGTGTGTGTGTGTGTATATATATGTATATATATACATATTTATGTATATATATATATATATATATATATATATATATATATATATATATATATATATATGTGTGTGTGTGTGTGTGTGTGTGTGTGTGTGTGTGTGTGTGTATATATACATACATATACATAAATATGTATATATATGTATATATACATATATACATACATTTATATATATGTATATATACATATATACATACATTTATATATATATATATATGTATGTATATAAACATATATACATACACACACACACACACACACACACACAGTGGGGCAAAAAAGTATTTAGTCAGCCACCGATTGTGCAAGTTCTCCCACTTAAAATGATGACAGAGGTCAGTAATTTACATCATAGGTACACTTCAACTGTGAGAGACAGAATGTGAAAAAAAATCCATGAATTCACATGGCAGGATTTTAAAGAATTTATTTGTAAATCAGGGTGGAAAATAAGTATTTGGTCACTTCAAACAAGGAAAATCTCTGGCTCTCACAGACCTGTAACGTCTTCTTTAAGAAGATTTTCTGTCCTCCACTCGTTACCTGTATTAATGGCACCTGTTTGAACTCATTATCTGTATAAAAGACACCTGTCCACAGCCTCAAACAGTCAGACTCCAAACTCCACTATGGCCAAGACCAAAGAGCTTTCGAAGGACACCAGGAAAAGAATTGTAGACCTGCACCAGACTGGGAAGAGTGAATTTACAATAGGCAAGCAGCTTGGTGTGAAAAAATCAACTGTGGGAGCAATTATCAGAAAATGGAAGACATACAAGACCACTGATAATCTCCCTCGATCTGGGGCTCCACGCAAGATCTCATCCTGTGGGGTCAAAATGATCATGAGAACGGTGAGCAAGAATCCCAGAACCACACGGGGGGACCTGGTGAATGGCCTGCAGAGAGCTGGGACCACAGTAACAAAGGTCACCATCAGTAACACACTACAACGGCAGGGAATCAAATCCTGCAGTGCCAGACGTGTTCCGCTGCTGAAGCCAGTGCATGTCCAGGCCCGTCTGAAGTTTGCCAGAGAGCACATGGATGATACAGCAGAGGATTGGGAGAATGTCATGTGGTCAGATGAAACCAAAGTAGAACTTTTTGGTAAAAACTCAACTTCTCGTGTTTGGAGGAAGAAGAATACGGAGTTGCATCCCATGAACACCATACCTACTGTGAAGCATGGGGGTGGGAACATCATGCTTTGGGGCTGTTTTTCTGCTAAGGGGACAGGAGGACTGATCCGTGTTAGGGACAGAATGAATGGGGCCATGTATCATGAGATTCTGAGCCAAAACCTCCTTCCATCAGTGAGAGCTTTGAAGATGAAACGTGGCTGGGTCTTCCAACACGACAATGATCCCAGACACACCGCCCGGGCAACAAAGGAGTGGCTCCGTAAGAAGCATTTGAAGGTCCTGGAGTGGCCTAGCCAGTCTCCAGACCTCAACCCCATAGAAAATCTGTGGCGGGAGTTGAAAGTCCGTGTTGCTCGGCGACAGCCCCAAAACATCACTGCTCTCGAGAAGATCTGCATGGAGGAATGGGCCAAAATACCAGCTACTGTGTGTGCAAACCTGGTAAAGACCTATAGTAATCGTTTGACCTCTGTTATTGCCAACAAAGGTTGTGTTACAAAGTATTGAGTAGAATTGTTGTTATTGACCAAATACTTATTTTCCACCCTGATTTACAAATAAATTCTTTAAAACTCCTGCCATGTGAATTCATGGATATTTTTTTCACATTCTGTCTCTCACAGTTGAAGTGTACCTATGATGAAAATTACTGACCTCTGTCATCATTTTAAGTGGGAGAACTTGCACAATCGGTGGCTGATTAAATACATTTTTGCCCCACTTATACATACATATGTATGTATATATATATATATATACACATACATACATATGTATGTATATATATATGTATGTATATATACACATATACACATACATACATACATACTTATATATATATATATATATATATATATATACATACATATGTATGTATATATATATACACATACATACATACGTATGTATATATATATATATATATATATATATATATATATATATGTATGTATATATACACATATACACATACATACATACGTATGTATATATATATATATATATATATATATATATGTATGTATATATACACATATACACATACATACATACGTATGTATATATATATATATATATATATATATATATATATATATATACATACATACGTATGTATGTATATATATATATATATATATATATATATATATATATATATATATATATATATGCATATATATATACTGATTTTGACAGCTAAAGCATGTTGTGTTTAATTTGTTTTCCCTCTTTGGGAAGTTGCTGCGTCAACATTTTAGCAGAGTAAAACATACAATGTACTGACTGGAAGCTCTTTTCCAGCTCCCATTAGGATGACCAGTCCATTTAAAAATCCATAATGCAGACTGAAATATATGCACTCTCTGTTCTTGACATTGAACTGTTTTCTTTCATGCCAGCTAGGAGAACTTACTGTTTGGCATTTGCTTGTTTTTGTTTGTTATAAATGTGATAAAGGAGCATAAAAGCTGGGTCAGAAGGGCTTGTGGTTTGACCACTCTCACCGGCTGTGATCATTAGTACAGTTGCTTCTTCACAAAATAAAACAAACACCCCATCTCCGTCCCTGTGTGTGTGTGTGTGTGTGTGTGTGTGTGTGTGTGTGTGTGTGTGTGTGTGTGTGTGTGTGTGTGTGTGTGTGTGTGTGTGTGTGTGTGTGTGTGTGTGTGTACACTGCTGGAGATGACTGTCAGCAGGCGGTGCCTCTGAGAAAGAGGGAGAGCACTATCCCACCCACCCACACACACACACACACACACACACACACACACACACACACACACATGCACACCCCCCCCCCCCCACACACACACACACACACACACACACACACACACACAGCAAACTCTCCACAGGAAACTTTGAGCCATAATGCGAAGGCACCTCAGAGCAGACGGGTGCATTGCTCAAACCAAGTGGGATACGGCGCAGCTTTGATAGTGCGTTAATTACTCATGTGATGTGATACAGATGTCTGGGGGCTTCAGCTGAAAGTTTGCCTGACGCTTTCCAAGGGGGCCCGGCAGACATTTTAGAAGCGGTAGGTGAAAACCAAACGTATTTATTATTTATGGACAGATCAGTTTGTGTGCTGTCACAGATCCCAGCAGTGTCATGCTGACGCCAAACTGTGATGCTACTTGAAGGGCTGGCTGCTAAATAGTTTTCTGTGTACTCGGTGACAGCAGGGACTTTGAACAGGAAGAACTCTGGGCTATAACACTTGCCTGCTATGTGACATGATGAAACGGGCTTCAGTGTCAATCTGATTTCTTGAAACTTTAACGAGTTATTGTGAAAGATTTTCTGGGCTGAATACGCTCTGATTTTGTCCAGAAAATAAGATCATTTTGAGTGTGGAGGGGGGAAATCTAGACTGCAATGTCATGTCTTCTAATGTGAATTTTTGTCTTCATCTGTTTTCTTCAAATGACTGCTTAGTGGAATTAACCCCCGGTGCTCTTTTCATATGACCACATGTTTTAAGCTTTTAAAATTAGAAACAGAACAAGAATACAGAGCAGGGGAACTCAAACTGGGCACATCCACGTGAAAGACTTGTTTCCACAACAACAAAACAAGAGATGAAAAGAAAGATCTCACAGTATAGTTATGACATTATTGACTCAAAGACATAAACACCTCTTTTTGTAGAAATGAGAAAGAGCAGAAGAGGTTCCCAACATGCTTTGCTAATGCCTCGTCCTCTGATTATAACCAGTGTCGGCATTTCCCATCTGTGCCCCTTTGGTAGATGCTTTTTGATGTCTGTAAGACCTTCAACGTCTTCGCAGCTCCTGAGCGGGATTGTTAGGCTACTAAACTTTCTGGAGGCTGACTTTGTTTAATAGAATTTGATTGGTACTCGTATAAGAGTAGAGAAAATAAAATCCAAAGTATGGAAGCCCATTACTGCTACAACAAAGAAAAAAATTATCATAATTATGAGTTTAAAAGTAATTTCCAAGAGATGTAAAGTCATAATCATAATTATGACTTTGTATCTCATAATTATCAGTTTGAATTTCATCATAATGACTTCTTAACTCAATTAAGATTTAATGTGGGAGATTTTCTTTCTTATACGTGGTAAATGGCCTGTGTTTGTAAAGTGCCTTCTTTAGGTTCTACAACCCCCCACGGTGCTTCATGAAACAATCAGTCATTCACCCATTCACACACTGGTGATGATGAGCTACGATGTTGCCACAGAAGCCCCAGGGCACAAGGACGGAGGTGAAGCTTGCCATACACAGGCGCCACCGGTCCCTCTGGCCTCCAGAAGGGCAAGGCGGGTTAAGTGTCTTGCCCAAGAACACAACAAAGTGGGTGGGAGCTGGGATCGAACCTACAACCTTCTGATTGCTGGACAACCCACTCTACCTCCTGAGCTACTGCTGTCCCATGTGGCAGGAATGTGCTTCCATACAAAAGCATTTTGTGTATTGTAAGATTTACTGGGCTGACCGAAGGTTTAAGGCAGGTGTGATAAAAACTGTAACAAAGATTACTTTAAAAACGTGGAAGTGTTAATTAAACTTTTTTAGGTACACTTGCAGACAATTTTTAAAGGAACTGGGCTGGTGGGTTGTTCCAAACGTCTTTGAGAACTAACCACAGATCTTCTCTCAGCTCCACTTTATTAAGTCCAACAGGGACTGGACTGGTACTCTGAAGTTGCAAGTCCAAAATTCTGGCCACAGACAGTGGTGGGGGTCCAGTGGTGGGGGTCTGAGTGACATTACATACACCCCGTATATGGTCATTTTAGCATAAGAAAATTACTTAAAAATATAAAATAGCTGCAAAGTATGGCTTTAACAGCTCTGGCTGTATGTGTGGTGTCATTTTGCATTTTGAAAAAAAAAATGTTTAAAAATTAACGATCATTTATATTTCTGAAAGCGTTCTTTGCTTGCAGCATTTTGTCACACCTTCCTAAAACATTTTCACAATGCTGTATCTAATCTTATTTATTTATTTTTTATTCTCTCCTCAGTGACAAATCGGGAGACTCTTTCAATAAAAGGAATCAATGGGCTTAATACACTCAGAAATGGCCACTACAACTTTTACGTTTCTGATGCTAATGGCCTGTTTGGCAGTCAGAGGAATGGGCCAGATGAACGAAGTGAGAGCTGAGCACTTAATAACCCACTCCACACTGCAGCCTCGGGACTTTTACAGCACCATCAGCCCAGCTGGAGGACCCGGTGTGCCTCTACAGGCCCAAGAAACCAGAGCTCTGGGATCTAGAGCTGCCAATCAGACTAGGAAGGTGCCCCCAGCATGCTACAAAAGTCTCACCATCAGCAGATACTTTAAGTACATCAACGCCACCATCTCCGTCATAGTCTTTGTAGTCGGCCTGGTTGGGAACGCCACCCTCCTGAGGATCATATTCAAGAACAAATGCATGTGGAATGGGCCCAACGCCCTCATCGCCAGCTTAGCTCTGGGTGACCTCATATACATTTTCATCGTTATACCTATCAACCTATACAAGGTATGGTCTTCAATCCACTTGTTTATTTTTAGTCTGAAGCCCTTATTCCTGATCTCAGTGTCGACATGACAAAGAGCAGTCGCAGCGGAGGAGACCCGTACAGATAAAGTGGAATATCACAGACAGGAAAAGGGAGGGAGGGGGGTGGGGGGGTGGGGTGTAAAAAGATGGGAAAGTGTAATCATCCAGACGGCATTATCTCTCTCATGCTGTCTGATTAGTGATGAGAGGAGCTGGGAAATAGCAGACTTAAATAAACACAAGAGTCAGGCTGCAGTCACACATGCCACCAGCCTTACATTGACCAGAGTTATTAATCATTTTATTTCTGCTTCATTTGATTTTATTTGTAAAATTGCAAATGTATTGATAAATGATTGTAGGGAGTTTTCTTTTGTTTTGTTTCTAAAAGGAATTCATAAGTACATTTCTGTGTAAAAGTTGTAAATAAGTACTATCCAAGTCATTTGGATAAAGAATGAAGGCCAAAACTATACACTTTAGGAGATCGGTGTAATTTTAACATGGCAACAATTCATTTAGTTTTTCCCGTTATCACATCAGTCACGTTGGAATTAACCCTCTCAAAACAAAAGCAAACATAAAGAATAGAAAAAGAAAAAAGTAAGCCCCCCCCCCCCCCCTTTCTCAGTGGCCTAGTGGTAGAGTGTCCGCCCTGAGACTGGGAGATCAGGGGTTCGATTCCTGATCAGGTCATACAAAAGACTTTGAAAAAATGGGACCCAATGCCTCCCTGCTTGACACTCAGCATTAAGGGGTTGGATTGGGGGGTTAAACCTCCAAATGGTTCCCGAGCGCGGCTGTGTCTGCAGCTCACCCCTCCCCCAGGGGATGGGTCAAATGCGGAGAACAAATTTCGCACACACACTTGTGTGTGACAGCTAATGGGAATTTAACTTTAACTTTAAAGTAACAAAAAGGTCAATTAAACTACTGTGTTAAACTTGTTAAAATTCCTGCTCTGTGCAAAAAGCAACTCTCAGTTTGTCTCATGCATTTCAGATGTGGATCTGCAATCCGATTATTGCATATTTAAAACCATCTCAGCCTAGCTTGAGAGCGACAGATGATTTGAGTTTAGCGTGACTCGTAATCCACTTGTGTTTTAAAGCTTCAACCCATTTCTGTGGTTGACTTGCTGACTAGCTTCTGCCCTGGCCTAACCATGCAAGTAAATACTGTTGTGCCTTGTGCAATAAAAAAGAGCGATGACAAAAATCAAAGATCAGTCATTGTGATCTATGCAGCCACAATAAAGGATGTTGTTTTGCAAAGGAAAAATTGAGAAGGCCACCTGGTTGAAATTAACTGGGGTCTCTGAGGGCACGGAGACTTTGTAGTCTGAGCAGCACATGTGCAAGGAGGAAACAAGACTCTTCTCGGGGAAACAGACTGCGCACAAACAAAGAACGAGCCCTGTCCACATGCTAACCCCCCCTGCCTCCTCTTCCTTGAGGCAAGGATGCTGTTTACAAAATTATCAAATTTTTTATCAAGATGGCCTTGATTTCTTTTTATAACAAAGGCCATCAGAGGAGATTGTGAAACATAACGTTTTCCAGTGATGGCAGAATCCACTTGTAGCTGGAGTTGTCGTCATTGTACGGAGATTGGTTTTATTTGCCAGAGGATGAGAAGTTTTACACACAGACACACAAAAAACAAAAAGTTTCACCAGTTTTGTGGTCGACGTGCTTCTTTTCAAAGGTCATTAGCGTGATCGGTCATAAAAAGAACATTCCAAGGAGGCTCATAGCTCAAGAAGTAAAGATGTGGAGGGGCTTCGTTACAAGCTGAAAATCTATCAGAGAGGCAAACTATTCAGAAGTTTCATCATCTACTGGATGTGAAAAAAGAGATCAGAAAACGATCCCAGTCACATCAAAAAGTAATGATAACTCATAAATGTTAAAAAAACACAGTCATTATTGAACTTTGCAGCAACATTTGCTGCCATACAAATGTAGTTTTTATCAGGGCTTACAGCAGGATCAATTAACATGACTCACTGACAACAGATGGGTATCAAAATAAAACTGCAGCAGTCACAGTTGCCGAGAACTCCGTAGACAATATGTACAGAAAATCCAAAACCCTAAATCAGGAGTGCAGAGATGCTTCCGGATTTTACCATCTGCTGTTAGCAAACAGCGAAGTCCTTCGTGAGACAAAGCAACATTTAGCGCGATGCTGTGAATGTTCTAAAAAGTATGATATAATTCATTTGAGTAAAACTGTTTAGCTGACAAATATCTATCTTTCCACCAGCTGCTAGCATCCAGCTTCCCGTTTGCTGACAGTTCGTTCGGTTGGTGTCTTTGCAAGCTTGTTCCTTTCCTGCAGAAGGCTTCTGTCGGCATTACGGTCCTCAACCTGTGTGCCCTCAGCGTGGACAGGTCAGTGCTCTCAAACTCCTGACTTAGTCACACCAAGAGTTCTGGTGGGTTTAAAGTGTGTTCTTAAAGCTGCAATAGCAAATCTACAGAACAAGCTAGCTTTAAACACAAATCTCATCCCTCCTGTTGGGTATCATCCCTGGGCCATGTTCGCCGGAACCGGAAACCCGCATTGCTAGAGGAAATGAGAGAGCACTAAACACCAGTTGCCCTTTTTAGATCTAAATTTCTTTTGCTTTCTTGAAATGGTGTTTTTCTTTTTGGGATTCTGGTAGTTTGTCCTAAAGTTGGAGTGGTAGTAGCCGGTTTCTTCTTCCCTGATTTTACTGAGCGGAGAACCTCTCACACCAGCGGTGTTTTGTTGCTAAAAATGCGAGTGTGTAATGAATGGAGGACCCAGGGAAGTGAGGCGGTTCAGTGAGACAGACAACAGGATGGTCTACTAGGTTCTTCCGGACCGAGCCGTGTTATTGTTCAAAGTTTTTAGACAAATGCGAGAGAACCACTTTATTCTTTTTTTTTTATCTCCACAAGTATTTATAGCTGTAAGTTGGACTATTGCTAAGAGGCATGAAAAATGTTTTAAGCTAGTTTGTTCTGTATATTTACTATTACAGCTTTAAGCAAAGGTTTTACAAAGTGTAGCAAATAATTTAGAGGTATATTTTGTATGTGTGTATGGTATCTCATTCCATTTATATGTCGATGATTGCCAGCTGTATTTGTCACTGGAAAGATGTGATGGTCACTCTGGTCAAAAGCTCTTATATGTTTAGCAGAGCTCAAAGTATGGATGACTGAAAGCTTTCCATGTATAAATGACAATAAGACGGAGGTAGTATGGTTTGGGCCTAACCATGTTAAAAATGGTTGTCAATCAAAGGGTCAAGAGTCATTATTTAATATGTTGTCGTTAGCATAGCAAAGGAAATGGAAGAGTGACAATTTGCTAGCCTAGTGAACTAGACCAAATTCTTGCTTTGCAAAGAATGGTCTAGGCATGCTCCATTGGAACCTCAGCAGCTCCTACCAGGACTCTGGCTAGCCAATCACAGCTCTCTAGAGGGGTTTCAAACACATAAAGAGCTGTGATTGGTCCATAATGGTGGGCCAATCATAGTGCTCCATCTGCTTAGTGAACAAATCACAGAGCTTTATCCGCTTTGTGGGCCAATCAGGGCACTCTATATGCCTGGTGGGTGGGATGATGCAACAGAGTGAAACAAGAGTATGTCACATTCATTGTCCAGTGGAATGCAGAGATCATTTGAAAGACAACGGTAGAACCCGCCCCACAACCGAGAGCCGTCAATGGAGCATGGCCAGACTAAATAATACATTTATTTAGTCTGGCTTGCCAGGCTAACAATTTGCTGCAATTGATGATATTTATGTTTATGAAAAAACAAGAACTACATGGAGAAACCATGTAAGGTGAAGCTGATAGCAGTGTAAAAGTTTATCGCCCACTGTTGCATGAACTGATCTGAAATATCTGACTGAATTTTTGGTTCAAACACTTTGATCTTGACTGTTTTTGTCAAGCCTTTAGCTCCTCCATCTTGGTGTGTATACACTCTGTTTCTCTGAACAAAGGCTTTTTAAACAACTCTCAACAATTTCAGAAATTTTATTATTTTAAGACTTTATTCATTGAATTATAATGGACTGCTTTTGCACAATAATGACTGGATAACATCAAATAGGTAACACTTTTATGCCAAGAAATAATGTTAAATTTAAATAAGATGCAAACAGTCATTCGTAAAATTTTTCTGCAAAATTTCTATGCAAAAATTCTCCTGGTGACCCAAGCCAAGGTAATCATCACTCTATCAACTCAAGTAGCTTTTAACCAATTAAATGACGATTATCTTATCACCTGACACCATTGAGCCGTCACTCGATCAAGTGATGATTGCTTTGGCTTGGGTCACCAGAGGTTCAGCTCATTTGAAGCTGAATTTTCGCAGCTAAAATTCTGCATTTGAATTTTTCAAGGTGAACATTTTGCTGGTGTCATATAAGTTAAAAAAGTAATACGTAATTTTACCAAATAAAACTTCAATGCCCAAAAAAAGTCATATTCTGGTGAGACTGTATTTCTTCGACAGGTACAGTCATTGTCACTGCAAACAGGGATTTTCCTCCATTTTTTCATTTTGTTGCTTTAGATTTTAAAAGATAATAAATGAACCATACATTTTATTTGTGATGTTGATAATATTTGCTGTCCAGAAGCCTGACATGCCAGTAAATGAATCTGAATGGTATCTTAAAAGAAATTCCTTAATGAATAAAAGATGGTTCTGAAACATTTCAGTTAATGCACCATGAAGCCTTAGAGAAAAAGACTGACTGCTCTAAACGGATGCCAAGGTTCAAGTAGTCGGACCATTTTAATGACCTCCATTATGAGAACGCACCAGTCTGTGGTGTTATCTGACAGACTGTCGTGTACACGAGTACACAATCTCTATTGGTTTTCTGGAAACAACATGACATCTCCATCTTTCTATGTATTAAAAACCATTCCATTCCCTTTTGTCTTTTTGATCCTGTATGAAAAAAAGATGGATACGTTTTCACTTAGTAAAATATAAATGCCGCCATGATGTTCAACAGAGAAATTCAAATGTATCATAAAAAATATATTCTTTTTATAAAATCTTGATGCTCGATTTTACTAAAACATTTCGACAAGTGGTTTCCATTAGTGAAACAAACAGTGAGTGTGTGTGTGTGTGTGTGTGTGTGTGTGTGTGTGTGTGTGTGTGTGTGTGTGTGTGTGTGTGTGTGTGTGTGTGTGTGTGTGTGTGGTTGGAGGCTCCACAAAAATATAAATATTAGATATTGAAACTAAACAATTGATCCTCTCTCTGCATTAATTGTTAACATTTTGATGGTCTGCTGACTGAGCACTTTGTTGCCTGTGGTGTGCTGCCAGGCACACAGACACTTTCTAATTACTGATGAAACAGTGAATGAAAGCAGCCGAGTTTTAGCAAGGCTGGTTTTCATTTAGAAAATGTGACACCATTAACTGAACATATAAAATTAAAGTTACTGCATTGTATTAGAGGTATTTTTACCAAAGCATTTCAATGTACATGTGAGAACCCTTATGTATTCTTTCTGTTTAGTAACTCTTCTTGTTGTTTATCTAACCTGTGAACCTTACTGCACCACAGGTACCGGGCTGTGGCATCCTGGAACAGAGTACAGGGAGTGGGCATTCCTCTCTTCACCCTCATCGAGATCATACTTATCTGGGTCTTGTCACTCATCCTGGCAGTTCCTGAGGCTATTGGTTTCGATATAGTCCCTGTCAACCACAGCAACTTCAAAAGCACCTGCATGCTTTCCCCAAAGACACCAGCCATGGAGGTAATCCATTATGATCGTAGGAATAAGTCCAGTAAGGCACCCAGGGCCCGACATCATACATAGACTGCTACCTTTCTGCACCCCGTTAAGTTGCCACCTCAATGATAAACCAGCAAGGCTTTGCTACACAAGTTGGCTGCATGTTCAAAAGTCATCACTCTGCAAAATTATCAATGACCACGCTGGTTCTTCTGGTATAGTACAAGTAGAGTTTCAGAAGTCATGCCCACCCATTCAACACAGGCTGCTTTAAAGGTAATGCAGATGTTCTTTCTGATTTTCAGGAAACACCCACTCTCTCTGCGTTCTAAAAAATGTGCACGCACACCATTCTACAGTGCCCACTCTGTTTACAAGTAGCTGCCGGCCTGGCACTCGCAACTTCTAGCAGTAATCTGATTTCTCCAAATAGCATGCTAAACTTTAGCTTACCTGTCCAGCAGAAAACTGTAGGAGCCCAACTTTTGCTTTCACCACATGCCATCATTGAAAAGAGTCTTCTAAAAAAACTTCTGGTTTATTTACCACTTCAAATGCCTTTCTCTTCTTGTTGTAGACTCAGACACTTTTTTGTGTGACTCTCAGCCATTTTCAAAAGAACTCAGAGAGAACAGAGAGGTAGAACAAATATAAACAGAGGGCGCATGTACATGATGTGAAAATTAACCCGCGAGTGAAGAGCAAGCACGTACAATGGCCTTGCGTAACGGCTTCACCAGAATGATTGACAGTTAGCGAAACAATGGTTTAGATGATCCACCCGGAAGAAAAGAATGTCTGCATTACCTTTAAGCTGAGAAGCTCTGATATCCAGGAGGGACTCCGAGTCGAGCTGTTGCTCGTCCTGCAGCAGTTCTCTCTAACACGTTACAGCTGGTTCTAATCTATATTTTCCTCATTTGTGATGTCACAACAGGGGACTTTTGGAAACAATTTGTTTGAGGCACTTAATTCCTAAACCAAACACTGACAGGAAACAGATGGACAGATTTTTATTTTAGTTCGTAGTGGGTAAAGAGGCAGTAGAGACCCTCATGGCAGCACAAAAACATGCAAATGGTGAGTTTTGCATAATATTTCTCCTTAAAGAGCAAGTCACCCCCTACCAGAGTCTAACTCCACTCCTACTTCATGTTTGAAAAATGCAACAAATGCCGTTGCCTAGCAGACCGAGAAGGCGGAGCCGCTAACAAATACACACGCACACAGGTTCATGACAGCATTGTGACGTCATAATGTACCAGTTTACATCATAGCATACCTCTTAGCCAATAGCGGTGGCAGTTTTAAATTAAAATACAGTGCAGAGTTTTTACCGGACAACGGCACAACACTGCCAGTTTTAAGCAGAATATTTAAATTTTAACTAAGAAGCACTGAAGTGCCAAATTATTGACTAAACGTGTCTGCAGCACAATTAGACACTCGTTTATTTAGTTTATCAGAAAAAAAAGTTGATTTGGGGGTGACTTGCTCTTTAAACAAAGTTATGGCGAGTGGTTCCACTAAAAGCTATACATTGTTTTGTTAAAAGTGCATTGCTACTCGTATTTGGGCAACTTGTTTTAGAAAAAACAGGTGACATCACTTGGTTAAATTCAACATTTTATTTTTTACAGTGCAGCTCAGCTCAATATATCCATCTCAAGTGCACATGTTCTTTAATTGAATTTGGAGAGTATTTTTAATGGACATGCTAGTACACACATTAGTGTAATCACAATCAACTACAGCATGTCCCGCTTGTTCACTAAATAATTAAAAAGAGGAGGTAATAAAATACAGTTATAGGTTGAGGAAACTGCAAGGAAGCTCAGAAATTCACAAAGGAGTCCTCAATAAATGTTTTTACTCAGTCAATATTTTGAGCGAAGTATCACTTTCACAACTAAATCGAGTCAAGACTCTCACTCTCAGAGATTGTAGCCTTTCCTCATCCTTGAAGCACATAACTGATTGCAGGCCAAGTGCAATAACCGAGGGCTGTAGGGCCTCAAACTGAGCCACGTGCTGTTCCAAATATCAACCTGATATCAGTACAGTGCTGGGGTCTCATTTATCAAACATTGCGTAGAATCCTTACTAAAACCGTACTTAAGCTCAGCAAAAAATATGTACTGACGCCAAGTAGGTTTGTGATTATCAAACATGGAGTACGCACAGCTGCACGCAATGTCCGTTTCATAAATTGGAGACTAAAGAGAATGTTTCTCAGCTGCATTTTAGTCACATCCTGCCCTCACCACGCCCACTCACTGTCATAAATAGTCAATGCAAAGTGCCTTGTGGATCTCATGCATATACATAAGCCGGCTGTTGCAGCGCTCCGCCAATGACATGGCGACCGTAGATCAAGGCAGATCAAGGAAGCGCAATTTCACAGAAGCAGAAATTGAGGTACTTGTGGGTGAGGTGGAGAAATGAAGTACTTTTGCAAAACAAATAAGAGAAAATCCACGGAGTGGCACAGCGTTGCTGAAGCCGTCAATGCTGTGAATTCTCCAGAGAGATCTGTGGCTGATATAAAAAAAAAATTGTCCAATCGGGATTCAATTCCCAGACTCCCAGGTAAAAGTCATGCATGCTAACCTGTCAGACAAACAGAGATCTCCTCTGTACAAGTAGCCAGGGCGCATAATTAATCGGGTCACAGTGACAGAACGTCACAGACGCATGACATTCTGTCTCAATCTGTCCCCCTGCTGATATTCTGCATTCAGTATTCTGCGCTTCAGGCTGTGTGTGTGTGCGCACGTGTGTGTGTGAGTGTGCGTGCATGTGTGTGTACGCGCGCGTGTGTGTACAAGTGGGGGGTGTTGTTCTGTGTGAAAATGAAGCGGTACAAGTGATAATGCTGCAGGATTTCATAATTTTATCCTTCTCAGCAGCAGCACTGCAGGTGCTCTCCATGTCCAAAATGTGCGTAAGCCAGGTCCTTAGGCCTAGTCCACACGTAGACGGGTTTTTTTTTTAAAAACGAATATCCGTCCCTCCAAAAACTTGCATCCACACCACCTCGTTTTAAAAAGAAACTCTGTCCACACGTACCCGGATAAATACGTTGTTAAGCACATGCCAGACCTGTAGGCGGCAGTACTTCCCCCGTTCTTAACCTCGTCCTTCGTCTGTGGTCTTCCGCAAGGAGCAGTAATTCCGCTTGCAAAAACAAACAAGCAAAAAGCGCTTGGACAATTGATAATGCGAGCGCAGCTCTGAGGGCATCCATGCTGTCGGCTAGTGTAAACACAGGTCGCATACGTGATGTCAGCATTTTTTTGTCGCGGAAAGTGACGCTGCGGACCTTAAAACTCTGGTTTTGTCTGTCCGCACGCAGACACCCAAAATGGAGAAAACGCAGATCTTCACTTTGGCCGGAGTTTTTAAAAAGATCCGTTTTCGTGTGAAAAAACTCCGTTTTCGTGTGGATGACAGGCCAAAACATAGAAAAATATCTACGTTTTGGCAGATCCCCGGCTACGTGTGGACAGGGCCTTAGTCAACTTAAAGTTGCGCGCATTTTTCCAATAAGTTTTCTTTCATAAATCCCAAAGTTTGCGTGGAAAGTTGCTTATGCGGTTTTCCGACCCCATTTTGTACGTAAGCAAGCTTGATAAATGAGGCCCCTGGGCCTTAAGGGGGAAAAACACCTCTAAACTGAATTATTTCAATGCATCTTTTAGTTGTTTCATTGTTTTCAGAACGAAAATGAACTAAAAGACCCGAAGGAATTGTGCAATAAGATTTTTATGGGTTTGTAAACAGGGTATGTCTTACCTCCTTAGAACCACAGGCTCATTACATAGAGAATAAGGTTGTTTTCACACAGACTTTTCTGGTACTGGAAAAGAACTGCTGTCGGGTCGAGGGAGAGGGGGTGGAACAGACTTGATCATAAAATTTCTAATTGCAACAAGTCGAGTCCCTTTCCAGTCAGCTCATGGGTCGCAGGAAGAAGGAAAAAAGAAATGTAAGTCAACGTGGCTGAAAGAGCTATTGTCTAATCCACTTTGCCTTACGTCCTGGATCGCATGTATGTTGTACTTATAGTTAAATTAAAGGTAGTGATGTGTGTTTCGACCGTGCCTGAAGAAGATGGGTGTAACTAAGGCTCCCTATATCACAGCTTCTACATCACAGCAACACCAGGAAGATGAGTTAGATGCAAAGAGAAACTTTAGGTGCAGCAAATGTGTGATGGAGGTTAAATGTAACCAATTACAATCCTGGGCTTTCCTCCTTCTAGACCTACAAGGAGGCAAAAGACTGGTGGCTGTTTGGGTTCTACTTCTGCATGCCAGTGATTTGCACGGCCGTCTTCTACACTCTGATGACCCTGGAGATGCTCAACCACAGGAAAGGCAGTCTTCGCATTGCACTCAGCGAACACCTTAAACAGGTTAGACAATACCTCAAAACCTCAACTTGATATTCGCTTTGTTGTTGTTTTTTATCCTTTCCTAATTTTGTAAGTTTGTTTTTTGTGAGACAGTCTTTTTTGTGTCTTTGCAGAGAAGGGAGGTGGCCAAAGCTGTCTTCTCCCTTGTGTTGATCTTTGCCCTCTGCTGGTTCCCACTGCACCTCAGTAGGATATTAAAGATGATGCTGTACCATGAGAGTGATAAAGAGCGCTGTGACCTACTCAAGTGAGTTTTGGCTGGAGCTACCTTAAAGGTCAACATCTCTGAAAAAACACAGAATATTCTGATTCTAAAAAAAAAATACACCTAAAAGTCCAGTTCACTGAAAACCCATTTTTTAAATTGTTATTTCTGATTATATTCGGTCACTCTGGGTTTTTCATGCAGGCTGAACATGAAACTAGTCTCCTAAACCTATCTCCTGCATTAGCTTCTGATCGAAAATACACAATCAAACTCTAGGATTTGGAAATCCTGACTGATCTACATCTCACTGTCACTTAACATTCATGGACCCACCCATCTTGATCTGCAACGGGAACGGCTGCTGATGGCTTAGCATCCAGGAAACAGCAGAGAACATCTTGGCTAGTTAAAGCTAATGGTTAGCATTAGCAACTTCACAGCACAGCAGAACTCCTCCAGGATTGGGTTATTTGTAGAGATGAAACATCAACGTAGCAAAGCAAACAGTCAGTGACAGAGTTGTGTTGCTATTAGCCAATCAGAGGCAAGATGTCTGAGTATCAGGAAGTTAGACTAAATCATGTCGTCTGAAGCTACTTTCTCCCCCAGTTGACTTGTACTTCCTGAAACTGGTGCATCTGAGCGTTCTCCCCTCCCAACCTACAAGGCATTCATTCCAACTAGAGGCCACTGCAAATGTACTGATTAAACGAGTGAACCACATCTTTAACGTGCAAGTCACTCCAACCCACCCAGACACCAGAGTCTTACTCCACCCACATTTCCTGTGTGAATTATGCACCAAAAGGAGGCACTGCTCGGCAGACCAACAGGGCGGCGCTGCGGCACATTTTACTTGTCCTGTGTACAACATACCCACTTAAAATGTGGTCAGGCTCAGGCTTAGAAACAAGGAGAGGATCTCCATAACTCAGAGAGAGATCGGAGTAGAGATGATGTGGTTCAGGCACCTAATTAGGATGCCTTGTCTTCCTCTCATCATAGGGTTTGATTCTGGGCATTCTAGGGCAGATCCAAAACCTTTATAGATTTTATATCCTTAGTGTCCTGGAAATACATTGGGTTCACTTGAAGGAGCGGGAGATGTTCGATAAGGAAAGGGATGTCTTGGCCTTTCTGTTGATTCTCCAGTAACAACAAGAAATAACTCGACACTCAAATAACCTATCGGCTGCTGTTTTTAAGTGCATTCAAGTTCTGCATCCCACAGATTTGCTTGGGGAGGGCAATACATGCTTAAAGACCAACGCCCTGTTTACATACTGGTTGAAATGGACAGGATGCTGATAGGTAATCACAACATTATCGGACAACATCATGACAGCTTCTCTTCTTGTCACCTTCATTTGTCGTACTCAGGTTTAGCTACTGTCACTTTAAGACCACACATTCCTAATTGGCCACTTGGTCACAGATGTTTACGTTTAGGTGCTTGGCAGATGTTTTTATCCAAAGCAGCTAGTACAGAGGTGAGTCAGAGAGGTGGCTGAAGCCCAAGGACACAATAGTGGAATGACTGAGGAACCATCACTACAACGACCATTTCTACCTCCTAAACCTCTTCCACCCCAAAAACAAAATTTTATGGATCCTGCCTCTACAATAGCTCAAATTCTCTAAGTCCAATAAAAATTTTTTTGTGGCTTTCAGCAATAATTGGCAACAGATGGTGGTTCAATACACTCATTTGATTAAAACAAATTAATGAAATTATTCATTAAAACGCCCAAAAAATAAAAATCTTTTCTGAAACATGTTTGTCGTGTGAAAACTGGTCTTTCTGCTCTTCTGTGATTTAGATTTTGTCTTTAAGCGTGTTTTTTTTTCTGCTTTCAGCTTGATGCTGGTCATGAATCACCTCGGCGTCAACCTGGCAACCATCAACTCGTGCGTTAATCCCATCATATTGTACTTTGTCAGCAAGAGGTTCAAAAACTGCTTCAAGGTATTTCATATTTCATTGAACGCACAGTGACTTTTACCTTGTGACCTCCCCACCCCCACAGACAGACAGGCTAAATCTGGATTTCGTGTGTGTGTGTGTGTGTGTGTGTGTGTGTGTGTGTGTGTGTGTGTGTGTGTGTGTGTGTGTGTTTCGGCATCCCATGAGCAACAAGTAAAAACACCCATGGTGATATATGTAGTCACTTAACAGGCTGAGGTCACACAATACAAATATCTGTCGGGGTGGGGGTGGGGGGAGATAAGCCATGTCTCGACTTTACAAGTCAGAGGCTAGCTCCACCTAAGGAACGACACGGCGGTGAACACTGACATGTTAAAGCGTTCCTTCTCTTCCCATGTTCTTCTAGTCCTGTCTGTGCTGCTGGTGCTACTCTGACAACCAGCTGAACAGCATTGGACCCATGAATGGAACCAGCATCCAGTGTAAAAGTCCAGAGCCCAACAACCTCCAGACTACCCACTGCATCAGGAAATACAGCAAATGACCGCTGCACACTTCACTCTTTTTACAACACAGAACTGCACTCGCCTGAAATAATGTATATTAAACGTACTTGTATGAGACTTTCTGTGTGACGCTGTCGCAGCACGTGTCTGGAAACACATGAGGAACTGGAACAAAGGGAACAAACCGTGGAGTGAGTTTCCTGAGCCTCTCAGCGGGCTGAGCTTCCTGAGAAAAGGCCTCTTCTGTTCCCACACCCACAAACGGTGACCCTGTGGCCTGAGAGAAGAAATGGGGTCAGCAGGATGAGGAAGAGGAGGAGGACTCTTTTAAGGGATGCAGCTGAACTCTATTAATGTCCATCAGAAGCTGAGCATGGTTTCCTGGATGGGAAGGATGAGGAAAAGGCTGACTGTTCTCCATCATTAGGAGCGATGAGAGCGGTGTGCTGAACCCAGACGTTAAAACGGACTCATTAAAGCTGAAATCCCAAAGAAGCACGTTACAGACTCAAGAAACAACCTACGGTTGGGACTAAAGTACTGCTGTGTGTTGGATTGTACTCTTTAGATAGATGGAAACCTAAGTGGGTTTCCATGAAAAGGTTAAGAACATTTAGTATTTTAGCTTCATGAACAACTTCAGTTTGGATGAATAAAAATTTATTCTGAGCAAATTGATGAGCTAACAGCTAGTCACAGTGGAGGTTGGTGAATCTATATTGGTCATTAGCCGTTAGCTTGTCAGGCAGCAAGAGTAAACCAAGTCATTGCCTTAGTACAACTAAATTAGGACTTTTTAAATGCATGTATACACAAGAGGTGGACCAATGTTGGTTTTTCTATTGATGATACAGATGTCCATATGTAGGAGACAAGGTTAGCCAGTGTTAGCCAGTGTACTACTCAGTTATAATGGGCTAATTTTCATGGCCACTATCTAGACATGTTCCATCTTATTCTCATGCTAAAATGTCACTAATAACATTAGCTGATGCTCAACATTTCTGAAGCTGAGTCAGTTTTTGAACTCTAAATGATGCTGTTAAATCTGTGTTTAAGTCAGACACCTAAATAAAGTTCATTTAGAGTATTTATTATGCAGATGTTTTTAGTGAGCGTAAAAATACATTTAAATGAAATTCTGCAACAGCGCCGGGCTGCCCGAGGATGTGCCCGACTTTAAATCGGCTTTACTAAGGATATTTATTAGCCAATGTATAAAAACTGTAAATATTGGCCGGATATATCGGTCTACTCCTAGTGTACACCTTAGTCCAGGGGAAGTTGAAACAAACAGGACTAATCCTAATCAAGCTAAGGCACCAGCTAATGCAGTAAAAATAAAATCCCAACTTAGCCAAGCTGTGACCAGCCTGGGCTCCCTCCCACCAGGAACCGGTCTTCTGATATTATCATCGCCACAGGACTGCGTGCATCTGACGTGGTGAAGCGTTCTTGTCATCCATTCCTTTAACCATCGTGCAGATCCTGCCTTTACTCTGTCTGCTTCACTCCAGCCAGCATTTGTTAATTGTTTGTGTGTTGCCACCTAGCATCGCAGAGTCAAACATCCTTCATTCAATAACTCAATTTTCTACTGTGCATGTGAACTAGAATGAAGGCTTCCAATCTGGTGAAGGTTTTCGCTCAATTATTGGGGTAGTTCGATTTAGATGTGTGTGTAACTACAGAGTGTGATTTGAACTACTCTATTTCTCCAGGCTGAGGTTGTTCAAAAAAAATCATATTTTTTTTTCTCTGAAAACCATTTCAGATGTTTCAGCTAAACTAAAAGTTTTTCTAAAGTTGCAGGTTAGATGTCTGAAACTAAAAACAAACCCAACATTTACCACCAATTAAATTGTTTTTTTCCACAACACTGTGAATGTCACCATGCATATACAAGTATAGAAATATCAGTATAGCGTTCACTTTTATAAAGTGTAATAATACAAAAAGTATTTTACTCAGACTACATTACCTTTAGAATAAAATACGGTAGGTGGTAGTGTTTGGATAAATCACACATCCTCCGAACTCAGAGAAAAAAATGAGTTTTTGAAAATGTTCGTTGTTCACCCGAAGAGGAACCGTTCTAGTGTCAACAGCAAGATTGTCTGACAGACAGAGGGTGGGAAACTCATAACCGGCTTTGATCAACAGAAAACATTTTCCCATTTCATCCTGAAGAAAAATGTAGCAAAACTGGCAAATCAAGCCAACAAGTAGAAGGAGGATCAAATAGTCTAAAAATCTGATTATGCAATACAAAACAAAGCATGCTATTTATTTGAGCGTGCATTAAGTAAAGAGCATTTCAACACAATTTTCTAATTGTTACGTCCCCGACAGGTGTTGTTAGAATGTGAAGGGATAACATAAGAACTGGACAGTGGATGTTAAAAGGGTTTTATTGTAACAAATGTTCTAAAAACGTGCAAACAGATGACGGGCATTATAAAGATAATGCAAAACACAAACTGAACTATCTAAAAGGTTAACATCGCGACAAATTATCAACTATAGAAACACCTGGTTAAAACTTATATTAAAAGTCTTACCGAACCGAAGGTGTTCTTAAAAACCCGAAGTTGATACAAGTCTAAAACAATATACTGACTTAGGCCTAGTCCACACGTAGCCGGGTTTTTTTTTTAAATGAATATCCGCCCCTCCAAAAACTTGCATCCACACCTAGCCTAGCAAGCCAGACTAAATAAATGTATTATTTAGTCTGGCCACGCTCCATTGACGGCTCTCGGTTGTGGGGCGGGTTCTACCGTTGTCTTTCCAATGATCTCCGCGTTCCACTGGACAATGAATGTGACATACTCTTGTTCCACTCTGTTGCATCATCCCACCCACCAGGCATATAGAGTGCCCTGATTGGCCCACAAAGCGGATAAAGCTCTGTGATTTGTTCACTAAGCAGAGCACTATGATTGGCCCACCATTATGGACCAATCACAGCTCTTTATGTGTTTGAAACCCCTTTAGAGAGCTGTGATTGGCTAGCCAGAGTCCTGGTAGGAGCTGCGGAGGTTCCAATGGAGCGTGCCTAGACCAAACTTTGCAAAGCAAGAATTTGGTCTAGTTCACCAGGCTAATCCACACCACCTCATTTTAAAAAGAAACTCTGTCCACACGTACCCGGATAAATACGTCGTTAAGGAAATGCCAGACCTGTAGGCCGCAGTACTTCCCCCGTTCTTAACCTCGTCCTTCGTCTGTGGTCTTCCGCAAGGAGCAGTAATTCCGCTTGCAAAACCAAACAAGCAAAAAGCGCTTGGGCAATTTGTTAAAGTGAGCGCAGCTCTGAGGGCATCCATGCTGTCGGCTAGTGTAAACACAGGTCGCACACGTGATGTCGGCATTTTTTTTGTCGCGCAAAGTGACGTTGCGGATCTTTAAACTCCGGTTTTGTCTGTCCACACGCAGACACCCAAAACGGAGAAAACGCAGATCTTCACTTTGGCCGGAGTTTTTAAAAAAATCCATTTTCGTGTGAAAAAACTCCATTTTTGTGTGGATGACAGGCCAAAACGTAGAAAAATATCTACGTTTTGGCAGATCCCCAGCTACGTGTGGACAGGGCCTAAAACACCTGGTAAAAAAAACTTATTTTAAAAAGCTTCACCACAACGAAGGTGTTTAAAACCGAAGTCAGTAAAACTGCCACGGAGTTAACCTTTAAAACCAAACTGCAAAAAGATCCCACTGGATCATCCCAAAAAAACTTATCACCTAGAGTTAAAAACAACCAAAGTTTTTAACTCCTCTAAACGAAAGGGGTTGAAAACAAACAAAACCAGGAGGACAGCAGAACCCCTGCACTGCTGCCTCCCAGACTTCTTCTTCTTCTACCTTTCCGGTTAAATGGTGGGTGGCAACCAACTTAAGGTGCATTACCGCCACCTACTGTGCAGGAGTGTGAGTCAGAGCGAGGAGAGAAAAAAAAAAAAAAAAAAATATATATATATATATATATATATATATATATATATATATATAGAAAAATAATAAAAAACTAAATTCTACTAAATACCTTAATTTTCCTAAGAAACTCTAGCACCAACTTATAATTGGACCCACTGCCATTCAACAACGTTCTCAAATTCCAAATGCCACAACCTTTATCTTTCAACCTATCTATAAATTCACCCCTAATTACATCAAACTTACTACAAAAACACAAAACATGTTCTACCGTTTCCTGTTCTGTCCCACAATCACCTGTTTGATGTTTTCCCAAAATATGCAAAGTGCTGTTCAATCCCGAATGTCCTAATCTCAATCTCGTTATTATTGTTTGTTCCCTATTATGTAAATCCTTAAACGACCTTTTACCTACTACGTGCCTCCCAGACTGCTGAAGGCACGGCCTTTTTATACAGGTGTTGGCGATCAAGGAAGATTCAGCTCAGCTGTGCTCCTCAGCAGCCCGGGAGAGAGGAGGAGGGGCGGTGTCAGGCTGTTTCACCAGAGCTGGGTGATCCTGGCTCCTGCTCTTCCCTGGCCAGACTGGCAACCGTTACACTAATAAAATAATCTAAACTCACCAGTTTTATGGATTTTCATGTAAATGTCATAAAAAGGGGAGAAAAAAACAAAATTGATCAAAAATTCATAAAGTTTTTCTCAAAAAAGTGAATTTGAGTATTTTCCAGAATGTCACTCTGTTGTTTTCATGTGTTTTATTATGTTTATGCTTTTATATAAAATTTTAACAATATGGCCTTACATTTTTAAGAATATGTATTTTTATGTGTTAATTTTATGCTTCTAACATGTGAATAAACATAAACCTGTGGGAGTCTGGTTTGGTGCACCAAAGTACTCTAGAAACTGCACACCTCCGGTTTGGCCTCTAGAGTGTTTTGCACGTGTGCACACACACGTCTCACCCTTCTTGTGCACTGTAAGAAAGGAAATGTTGAATTAACTCAGCTAAGTGACGTCAGCTGGTTCTACCAGCCTAGCTGCTGCTTAAAGGTAAAGATGAATACACATTGTTATCCATTGCTGTGTTAAAAGTGAATCTTATACTCTTTATATAGCAACTAGGTTATGGCACCATTTTACTCAAGCCGAGTACATTTTACTCAAATAGAATAGAGTTTACTTTGAAAAAGATTACATGTGGTTCCATGGGGTCAAATGTACTCACTTTTCCTGTGCAGTTGCCATGACTTTTTAAGTAAACAATTCTTTTTTTTTTTTACAGTGTCTAATATTTTTACCACTAGACGTTAACGTTTATCCTCCTGTGGTCTGTTGTAACGGCTGCTGCTTCAACTAATAAATCACTTTTTAACCCCAGTGTTTGAAACATGTTTTATTAGGCTGAGAGAGAGAGAGAGGGAAAAAGGATCTGTTCTGTTTTTAATCTGTGAGAAACAGGCGTCTGGGAGTGATTTAAGCTCGCTGTGACCTGCTCTGAATCGGAGCCCTAAGGGCTGCTAAAGTCAGCTCAGAGGAAGTGAACGGCTCAGAGGGTGGGAATTTAATATGTCTGATTCCTTTGTTATCGCTACTGCTCAAAGTAAAGCCTGACTATTGAAACAGGTCTGTTTAATGCATTTAGAGTCATAATAGATATTAGAAGGTTTTGGCTTTCTGAAGCAGTGATTTCATAGCTATGATTTCACACTCTATTACTGTCAAAAGAGACGTTTAACAGAAATACAACTACATATCAGATAAGCGTCTTAACTAACACACTTTATCAGAATTGGTCCTGCGTTCATTTCATAAATCTCACGCAGGTCATAAAGTTTACAAAACCACTTCACATTATTCTTCGTATGAAATCATTCCATAGTTCCCCCAAGGACATTCTTCTTTAGCCAACAGTTCATGATCTAATGAAACAGAGAATGGGAAATAAATAAATCAGGCCAATAAATAGGATTGGACACAAACCACCGGAGCAGCGTTTCAGCGAGGTGAAGGAAGGACGGTCAGAGTGTGAGAAAAGCAAAGCGGAAAAGGAAAGTGGGGAGGTTTTATTTCTGGAATTCTGTGGGAACCTCGATGCCTGCCATAAATTTAAACAAGCCCAAAAACAAATGAGTGAGGATCTGAGAGGGCTGCAGCACGTCTACGTGCTGAGCTTATGTGGACATTTGGTGTTGATTCAGTAAATGCGTTGGAAAGCATTTAATGACTGCTTTAATTAACCAGTTAACACACAGAGGTCATTATTCTGAATACTTTCTATTCTGCTGCCAGACATTCTTTAGATGAAGAGCAAGATGTAGGCAAACATTACCTTACTTTATTCTCATGTTACCAGAGAAGTTAAACTTCTGTTCAAACTGTCTGAAAATGTTTATACATTATTATTATTATTATTACTACTATTATTGTTGTTGTTGTTGTTGTTGTTGTTGTCATTGTTATTGTAGTGAACCTGGGTAGGCTTTGCCAATTAATGTAGTGTAATGGTTTATGCTCTTTTATGAAAGAGGAACCATTCTACATATTAATTTGAGATATTAATTTTAATAAATTAATAACCAAATTTTATAGTTTAAGAAGACTCAAAGGTTGTTTTCATCGATAAACTGTCGATAATATCCGTGGGTCTGTGTTTCAGTTCAATGAAGAGACAAGGTTGAAAGTTAAAAGATTTAATTCTTCAAATTAAACTAATGATTTTGAAATGACAAGCAGAGGAAACAACAATCAACATTGGCAACTTTGTTGAACAATCTTTAACAGTTGATATTTTAACCTTGCTCAAATAGACCTTGTGTTGAATGTATGAGAATTGAGAATAAGGTGAGATGGATGCGTGTGTGCTTCTGATTTTGCTTCAGGAAGAAACGGGTGTCTGAGTGAAAAGTGATGGTTTGAATAAACTTAGGTTTCGTTGGAAAAGATGCATCAAACGCTATCTGTCGTGGACTGCCTCACCGTATTCGGACCCTCTTTTAGACCCGGGACGTCAAAGGACGATGTTTCATCCAGGGCACCTTGGCTGGCAGAGAAGACGAAGGTGTCCGACGCTCCGGTCCAGAGATGACCCCGGTACACGTGATGATGAAGCGTTTGCAGATGCGCTTTCTTAAGTTTAAATTACTCACAAAATCAAAGACTCTGGACGAGTCTGCGTTAGCGGTTGCAATTCAGCTATTCCTGTCTGGCTTGGCAGGAATAGCGTGAGGGGGGGGGGGGGGGGGGGGGGTACAGGAGCCGCAGGCTCCCTTCCCCAGGTGCGTGTTCAACACGTCCGAACTCTCTCGTTGACAAACTTGAACTGAATCATGAACTGAAACTTACCAAAAGCCTTTCTCTTCTCGAAGCAAAACTTGTGCGTCAGAGCAAATGTGTTTTGGAGTTTACTGTGAGAGAGTGTGTGTGTGTGAGTGTTTGAGTGAGTGTTTGAGTGTGTGAAGGTCGTTACCAAACATCTTCAAACATTATTTACTTAAGCATTGATTCATTAGTTATTATGATTACCCACAGCATAATAATCATTCATTTGATTAAAACACATTTATAATGAGCAAAGTGATCAAATGATTATTTAAAATAAAGAAAAGGAAGTTTAATACTTTGTTATGTTATGACTAGCTTTTCCATGAGAACACATCTTCTGGCACTGCAGGTGTTCAGATGTTATGGTTTCTCCCAGACTCGCTGGCGTTCAGGTCTTAATCTGTGGGTGAAAGTTCTCAGCGACCCAGCCGAGTCAAATGAAACCTTTGGCACAGAAAACCCACATTTCCTCATGTTACATTATTATTATTATTATTATTATTATTGTTGTTGTTATTATTATTATTATTATTATTATTATTATTGTTGTTGTTGTTGTTGTTGTCGTTGTTATTATTATTATTGTTGTTGTTGTTGTTGTTATTATGATTATTATTGTTGTTGTTGTCATTGTTATTATTATTATTGTTGTTGTTGTTACTATTATTATTATTATTATTATTATAGTTGTTGATATTATTATTATTATTATTATTATTATTATTATTATTATTATTATTATTATTATTGTTGTTGATAACAACCCCACCAACAATAGTAAAAATGTTTCTGCATCTGGAAATAAACTAAAACGAGTCTCCAAAGACTCTAAAGAAACCCAGATCAAGAAAACAGAAACTGTTGTTTTTAAATAAATTAATTTCATCTTTTTTTTATTATTATTCAAAGGAAAATAGAGTCAAACCCTTTCCTGACTCAAAGGATTATATTAGATATATTGGGGTATTTATGTTGATTATTATTTTTCAGCAAATCTTTCTCTTATCTCTAATTATTCAAGTGTTTCTGCACGTGCTGAACCAACTACTATATGATTCAGTGAGATGTGATGGAAGCTGCAACCTTCATGCTAAAGTGTGTTTTTGGGTCTGATCAAACATAACATGTGTTTATCTACCCTGCCCTTAACAGAGCTGTGACTGCGTGTGCCGTTTGGCATAGCAATCCCTCTAAGCTCCCCACCACAGCACAGGACTTGTGACAAAGACCATGTCTAATTCATTAAAGCCAAAAGGAGTGATTCAAAATTTATGAACAATCTGTCCTGCAACAACCAGTGTTTCTGTGACTGTAGGGCTGTGGAGACGTGGTGCAACAGAAAGGAAAGTTCTGCCTCCTCTCATCTTATGAAAAAAAGTACTCTCACACACACACACACACACATGCACACACGCACATGAACAAATCTGAAAAACAGGTAGGTTAAAAATAAGCAGTGTAGAAATTTGGCTTGATTATCACATGGAGAACGTGGTAATTATTGACATGCAGACAGAAATTTAAATACAAATACTGTGTTTCAGTCTCAAATATAACAATTACAGGACATGGTAGAAATTCTTATCTGAGTTGTTACAGATTAAATGAAACTCTTTTTTTAAATTTCATTTGTCTTTTTATGATTCAAATGAAAGTATGGGCTTCCAACTCTTTTACACAACAGAATGTCTTCTACCCAAATCAAATGAAGAAATATTTTTATTATAATAGCCAGTTTTGCTTGACATTGGTTTATTTATTTGTCACTAAGTATTTTTCTCTTTTTTCATTCGTTTTCTTTCTTTATGTATGCAAACTATTGAAAAAAAACCTTCTAGGTCTAGGTGGACCAAATTAGATCTATAAAGTTTTCACAAAAACTATTGACAACGCATTTAAGCTTAATAATAACAACCATTTCATGCATCTTTATGGGACTGGTTTTTCAAAATTGACACCACATTGCTATCTAGTGGTGAAAGATCATATTACATACTAATGCAAACAAACTCAACTGAGTATTGGATTTAATCCTTTTTATTCCACTGGTGGGTGACTTGGCTAGAAAAGGTGACAAGATGTGAGGGAGGAGTCTAATTCCACTGTGTCATTAGCACTTAATCTTTACGCAGATTATCATATCCAGTCAATTTCCTGATTTTATTAAATAATATGAGACAACATTTTGATCAGTGAGAGCCATTATTGAAGTGGCAGTCAGCTTCTTTCACCAAACACTTTACATTTGGCGCGCCTTTAAGTACACCGGCTTCCACAAGGAGCGTACCCACTGACTATGACTCAACCAATCAGACTGCACGCGGATGCAAAACCCGGAAAAACTTTCTTAGCAATCCATCACTGCTCCGGAACTTTTCCCCTATAACTATTGAAGAGTCGGTCGTGTAGACATTTATCTAGGGGGTTGACCGTGTAAAGAAGTGCTTTTTGTATGCGTTTGCTACTTTTAACCTGTTATAGGTTAAGGTAGGGATAGTGGTTTGTCTGTTATGTTTGTTTACATGCTGAATCAGCTGACTAGCTAATGTTACTGATTCTGCAATCATTAACCGAGTCACATGAGCCGTTAATTATCCACAAACTGTCTCTTCATAATTAAAAAAGTTACTTCCGTGAAAGAATTAATACGGAAATACCTAAGTAAACACGCGTTTTTGTTCCTAGTGAGCTACAATGCGAAGCTAACATTTAGACGAGGTGTTAGCAACATATCGGTCAGATGAAGTGGCTCGTTTAAAGGCCCTGTGGTGACTTCATGCCAACATGCCCTGCTCCTGTGGGGACTGGAGGAGATGGATTCGGCCTTTGGTCGTCGTGTTGTACATTTTGCTGCTGTTAGTCGTCCTGCCCTTGTGTATCTGGGAGCTGCAGAAATCAGGGGTAAGTGATCTGTTTATAAAGCTGCTACACTTTTGTCCAACGAATCTAAAAGCATAATAATTTAGACACCCCTCTTATGTGAATGATGAGAATATGGCTACAGATTCACAGCCTCAAAGTTATTCACCCTTTTTACACAGAGAATATATTTATTAGGGGTAGACCGATGTATCAACATCAGCCAATATTAGAATAATTGGTAATTTTATTCTGGATTTATCAGTCAGCCATTATATCGGCAGATATTTACTATTTGTGCATATGACGGTATCGGCCAATCTAAAACAGAGATCCATTATTTTTCGAGGGCACCGTCTATAGGGGGCAAAAGGTATTGCACCTTAAGTATATACAGATTGGATCGGGACGATTTTTTATTATTTTTCAGTGATCGGAGATCAGCAATTATAAATGATGAGTCTTGCTGATCCCCTGAAATAGATTGAGCACGTTAGCATATGCTGCTTCCAGGGGGAAAACTCCTGTAGGGGGCTCCTTTTTTGTGTGATGTTCTCTCCCTGTTGGTGGTTGGGTTTTCCCATAGAAGTCAACCAAATGGATGACGAATCAAGCGGTGATTTTCATTCTCAAGATGTCTGGGACGCTTACCAAATTGCTCTTCTCTCCAGATGACTTGTGTGAGTTTAAATCCTTCCAGGGAAACCTCAGAGTCTGCTATGAGCTTGTTCTTCCACGCCTCTGCAAACAAACATCAGGCTGTCAGTAGTCCAGCAGCAGCCGGGCCAGCACTGAGAGCTCATCCAATTTATTGGGGAGGGAGCAGACATTTCCCATAATCGCAAAAGGTAGATATGGTTTATATCTTCGTTTCCTCCCCAGAGTCTAATTCTGGAGGCAGAACCGGGTTTCCGTGGAGAGAGAGCCAGCGAAAGCAGCACCCACAACTGATCCCTGCAGTAAATGGTCGATTCATGCATGGAGTTGCATGAGTTTCCCAAAGCCTCTCAGAAAGTTCCACCTTAAGGCGTTAAAACACGCACAGAAGAAAAAGCAAAGAATAAAAAGAGAGAAACAAAACAAGAGCTGCTGTTTCTGGCTGCTGCCCACCTCGTGCCCTTTGTCACCAAACGCAATCTTTCCTTTTTCGTTCTTTGGCGTCCAACTTCACAGTAGCAATTCACCGCAAAATAAAGCTACCGGAATTATAACACTCTACATCCGGTCTCAAAACAGGAAGTTGATTTCATGGGATTTACAAAAATAGTGGTAATGTTTATTAATAAAATTATTCTTAAAAAGTGAACTTGAGTTACTTGCTAAAATACATTTCAGCGTTATAACTTTCAATAGTAAAAGCAAATTATCGGATCGGGACTAATTCCGATTGAATTGGATTGGATTGGAAGCCTAAAATGCTGATTATCTATAATATATATGTATTTAGCTTACATAAATGTGTTTTCCCCCTTGTTTTTGTGTCTTACGGCAGGTTGGCACTCATAACAAAGCATGGTTCATTGCTGGGATATTTGTGTTCATGACCATACCTATATCGCTGTGGGGCATCCTTCAGCACTTGGTGCACTACACACAGCCAGAACTGCAGAAACCCATTATCAGGTAAACACACCTTCAGTCCTGTCAGACAGCTGCATACGTTCAAAGATTTTCCCTTATGATTCCACCTTCCTGTTTTTTAGGATATTATGGATGGTCCCCATCTACAGCTTGGACAGTGTGAGTGTTGTTCGTCTTAGTTTTACACGGTTGTCCAATAAGCAGTTACAGGAGATGAGATGTTTGATTAATTATCTTTTGCAGTGGATTGCACTTAAGTACCCCAGTATAGCAATTTATGTGGATACATGCAGAGAGTGCTACGAGGCGTATGTCATCTACAACTTCATGACTTTTTTGCTGAACTACTTGGAGAACCAGTACCCCAGCCTGGTGATGATGTTGGAGGTGCAGGAGCAGCAGAAACACCTGCCGCCCCTGTGCTGCTGTCCCCCATGGCCGATGGGAGAGTGAGTTCTCTGAAGAATAATCCTATTTTCATTTTATTGCACCTATTGTACCTTGGCATATTACTTCTCGTTGTTGGAATGATACATTGCTGTTTATGATAATGATGGGGTGCAGTAATCATTCAAAACAGACTGGAAAATTGTGTTCTAAACATTTTCATCCAGACTTTTACCAGAATGTTTCAATGCTGTCTAATATAAATGTTCCCACTGTTTTTAGAAATCTCTATATTTAGATATTTTATTAACTTTTCTTTTTTCCAACCACATTTTTACTTTAATTAGGAACCTAAAGTAGAAATGACAAAAACGTACTTGCTCATTGTCGCTTCTCTGGTCAGATTTGTCGGAATTCCTCAATGAAAAGTACCAGTTTCCCATTAGCCTCAGTCGCGCAGCATGTCACCGGTAAACAGCAGTCATGGTTTCAAATCCAAATGAAACCATCTTTCAGCTGCTAATTTATTGGTAAACAATAATTAAAAAGCAGGTTACATGGTTTCAGTCAAGCCCTGTGGTTTCTTTTTATTACAACTGTAGGTCAGTGACGCTCGATGGTAACAAACACAGAAGCAGTGAGTGGAATGCTCCATCACTCTTTCCTGTTTCTACAGGATTTTAGAGGTTAACATGCGTCCAGGAACTACTAAAAATATGCAGCTGATTAATTGATCACCTGTTAGTGTGGGAACACCCGACATTTTTACAGTGTACATTTTAGGACATCCTCTGGTTTCAGGAAATATTCCCAAGACTTAAGACTAAACCACAGACCAAAGAGACTCAGGAAAACTCCCTCAGTAGTTTTATTTTTTTCATTTTGCTAATTTAATGGTTGACTATGGAACATTTTAAATAAAAAGCTAAATTGTTAAACAAATAATACTTCCACGGGGTGTTTAAAGGTATGCAAAGTGAATGTACCGTTTTTCCTTTAAAAGCTACAGTATATTAAAAAAAATAATAATAATACATTTTATTTTGTCAGGCATGACACTGGGTTTATGTTTACATCTACCAGCCGCTAGAGGGGACTGTTGTGCTAAAAGATCCGCTCGGCAAGGCGAGGCTGGGACTGTGTAAAATGGCGGACTTGGCAAGCCAAGCAGCTGATTCTGAGCGCAGATGTTCTAACAGTAAATACTGTTGTAAAATAAACTTATTAGTAGAAATTAGTCCTTATCCTGTATGATGTGTCTCTGAACATGGTGTTCTGGTGAAAATGTGTTCTGTTGTTGCACTACCACCTCTAAACACAGATGTCGCCAGAGTGTCCGTGTTCCATATTTAACCTTTAAATCTTTACATTTTACACACGCATTTCCCAAATGTCTGTGGAAAAGTATTGCGCACCTAAGTATGCTTGAAAAGCAATATCGTCTGGTTACGGCCAATTTGTCATCCAAACACATCACGAATGTGCGACAGTAGCAGAGCATTTTCCAAGAGTTTTGCCTGATGGAGTTTTGTCGGTGGAAGGTTTTCCTGAAACTTTCTATTGTGACGTAAATTAGTCAGAAGTCTGGTGAGGTTTAGAACGAAACCAGATGTTTTTTGCTATGGTCAGATGTTTAAGGGTTTGGAGCATTCAGGTGATTTTTATCCTTATGAAGGAAGTAAAATGTCAGCAGTAAGTTTAAATGCCTTCTTTCCAGCCTTAAAGACCAAGTTCACTTAGAAGTCGTTTCACTTGTTATATTTTTGAAATCTGATTGGTCACTGCGTTTAACATGCAGGTTAAATGTTAAAATAGTCTTCTATCCCAATTTCCTGCGTTAGCTGCTAAAATAGACAAGGAAGCTATCGGATTAGAAAAGCCTGACAGATCTACATCACACTGTCACGTAACATTCATGGACTCATCTTGACTCACGACGGGGAAGTCTGTTGTTGGTTTAGCGTCCAGGAAACAGCAGAGAGCGTCTCAGCTAGTAGAAGCTAACCGTTAGCATTAACAGCTCCATAACAAGGAACTCCTTCAGGCTTGTGTTATTAGTAGAGGTAAAACATCAATGTTGCAGAGCAAATGGAGTCAGTGGTAAGCCCTTTTTACAAGACACCATGCCAGCAATATTACGGCGTAATATTACAGCAGCAATGTCTTATAAACGCGCCATGCCGGCATGGCGTTGTGCGAAATTTGCGGCATTCGTTGTGCCTTGCTTGGTAGTAATATTTCGGTAATGTTCTGTCTCATACCGAGCTATTGCGTCATGGCGCAACAGAGGGAGGTGTCATGATGACGTGGGGAGTTAATGCCGAGCTCCGGCCAGCAAATATATTGAAAATGAAAGTAGACATGGGAAATAAGTTTTGCTTTTTGAACAAAGTCAGCTGAGACGACAAACTGGAGCGCTGCGGCGCTCTGTGAGCGTTTCTCTGTTAGAGCTGAAGCTCAGACCATCAGAGACTACACAGGGACTGATAGACACCTTTAGGAGCGACTTGTTAAAAAAAAACTTAAAGATCGCGGCTTCAATTGCAAGAAAAAGCAAGTTATGTTCAAGATAAACGGAGGTGCGTGGCATTGCAGATACCTCCCCAAACCCCCTTTATGCCGCCATCGCCTAATCTTTTACAAAAAGGACACGACTGCGCCACATTACCACCACGGTCTGACCACTTATAAACGACCTAAGGGACCCCGATGCCGCCATGGCGTTGCGGCAAATTGACGGCATTGTTTTTTAAAAACACCTCTAGAGTTATGTTGCTGTTATCCAATTAGAGGCAAGATTTCCGAATGTCAGGAAATAAGACCACAAATCCTGCCGTGTTCTGCTCCTCTCTCTTCTGGCTCAGAATTTGGAGTCTGTAATTCTACAGAGAACATTCATAAATGGAAAATATTCAGTGCATTTTTCAATCCTCCTAGGAGCTGACATCCTAGCAAGGTCACCTCGAGGTCAGACCATGATTTGTTTGGAGAGCTGCTAGGGGAAAGTGCCTTCTCTCTATAAAAATGGCCAAACTGATCTGGTCTGAAAAGTTTCAAATTTTCATTTAATATATAAAACTTCAATAGGATACACTTTATTTTTACTGAGATGAATTTATTTCTTGACACTATAATTGTATCATAACCTGTGATTTACTACATTTTTGGGGAAAACGTGTCTTTAAACTTGCCTCTAGGGTCTCAGTTTAATTTCAGCATTTATTTTTCCTTTCTCATTAAATCAGGGTTTTACTGCTGAGATGTAAACTCGGAGTGTTGCAGTACACTGTCGTCAGACCCGTCACAACAGTCATCGCTTTGTAAGCAAACTTTTCTTTCAGTGTTACCTTTGAAAAGGTTGGATTTTTGGTTCATTATTCTGTTTTCCTTTGTAGAATCTGCCAGCTGTGTGGAGTTTATGACGAAGGCAACTTTAGTTCTGCAAACGCTTGGACATACCTAGTCATCTTCAACAACATGTCACAGCTGGTAATTTCTAATCTGCTGCATTACGCCGGGGACACACCGGCCGCGGAAGCGCCGCAAAGCGCCGAGAAGCGAATCGCTCACGAAATTCGGCCGCTGCTCGCCGCTCCTCAGTTCAGATCAGACACGCCCCAGTCGAGGCGTGCCTCGGCTCAGCTGTAGTTTTTCTCTTAAAACACTTGGTGTCCTCAATTTCCTCTCTGCCTTTTCTCAGCTATTTTCCTCTACGTGTGTGTGTGTGTGTGTGTGTGTGTGTGTGTGTGTGTGTGTGTGTGTGTGTGTGTGTGTGTGTGTGTGTGTGTGTGTGTGTGTGTGTGTGTGTGTGTGTGTGTGTGTGTGTGTGTATACCTATGGTATGAGTTGTTTCTGCCAGTTGAATCTCTTGGAACCCGCTCCAATTCTGCAGCTGTATCCTAACAGTTTCTTCAGAAATGGGTACGTAAATAAACATGTTTTTCGGGGGTCGTACAGCTCCTTGTGTTTCTCAACTTCCATAATTAATTTAAAGTCATCCATCTTAACTGCTTGTCTCAGACTTTCTGCCTTTCTGTCCTGTTTGCTCCGGTGAAAAGACACCCCAAACCACACCCCCCTTCACGTGGTCACACACGCACACAAGTTCGATGTGTGTGTGTGTTCGTGTGGTTTTTCTGCAGTGTCTGATTACGAACACATTTGACTATTGCGGAATTTTATTTTGAAATGCTTTATTTTGTTAACTTTACCGGCCTGCCTCTTATGTCTAGGTTTGACTTCCTGCCAGAATTGACGCGATTCACCCGCGGCTCGCGAAAAAAATAGAGCCGACGCCGAAATGATCGCTGCACGGCGCGGGCTGGGGCGCCGGCGCGCGCCGATTCGAGGCGCTTTGGCGGCCCATGTGGTCTATAGAATAGCTCAACAAGGGCGCCGAATGAAGGCGGCCCCATTTTCGCGGTGCTTCCGCGGCCGGTGTGTCCCCGGCGTTAAAAGGATCAAACCCATTTTTTTCAGAGTAAAGACCATATCCGAGTTCATGGTAACATGTTTGCTCTAGTTTGCTATGTACTGTCTGGTGCTGTTCTACCGAGCTCTGAGAGATGAGCTGAGTCCCATCAAGCCCGTGGGAAAGTTCCTGTGTGTCAAAATGGTGGTGTTTGTTTCTTTTTGGTAAGCTCACTGTATCCACACAAATGTACATATTCAACGTGAAATTATTGAATAGAAGGTGGTTTGGGAAATGTGCTCATTTGTGTTTTCCAGGCAAGCCGTGCTGATTGCTTTGCTGGTAAAAGTGGGCATCATCTCAGAAAAGCGTACGTGGGACTGGCAAAGTGTGGAAGCTGTGGCTACTGGGTTACAGGTAACGAAGCTGAACAGAAGTGACTTGAATGAGTTATTTTCCTAAATGAATCAACATCTTTGATACAGCGTCTTGATTTAAATGTTCTTTAGTGTGAAACGGACTCCTGCTCCCTGTTTTCTCAGGACTTTATCATATGTGTGGAGATGTTTCTCGCCGCTATTGCTCATCACTTCAGCTTCACCTACAAACCCTACATCCAGGAGGCAGAGGAAGTGTCCTGCTTTGCCTCTTTCATGGCCATGTGGGACATCTCGGATGTCAGAGCGGACATTTCAGAACAAGTTCGCAATGTTGGTAAGTCTCCTGGCTGCTGACGGGACCCCCCCCCCCCCCCCCCTTTAAACTACAGGGTGTGTATTGGCAAGAATCTGGAAATACAATTAGTATCACAATACAGGGGAGACGATATGGTCTAAATATCGCTATACAGACCGAATTTAAATGGAGAACTCAGACCAGACACTTCCTAGACACATCCAGTTTTCTCGCAAGATGTTGTAGCCACCTAGCAGTCGAAGTTTGAATTTCACCACAAAAGAAAATACAGGCTTTTAAAAGTCTGTTCAGTATCATCATACAAATGTCGCATATTTCAGTGTACTGATTTTTTTCCTACATCCCTATTAAAGATTGTTTTTGTGTGTGTCTGTTTGAATGTTTAAAGGGAGGACAGTCATGGGCCGTCCAAGAAAGTCCTACTTTGGTGAAGATCAAAATGACGGTGAGCGATCCGGTCTTCTCTCTTCAGCGTCTCAAGACGCCATCACCGAAACTGCGTCTAAAGGCCAGTATGAAGGCCTGGGCAGAACCCTCACTCCGCATTCTCTGTCAGCACCTGCTGGGCTGGACTCGGCTGCATTGAATGATGGTTTGGAGTCTAGACCTGAATCAACCCAAGACCATGGAAGGACCAACCGAACCAAAGAACCAGAAGAGGCAGATCTCATTGTGATCATCTAGCGTGGACTGGTGTGACGTGGTTGGGCAGGTCCCAGTTACAGCCTTTTAGTTTCTTCAGATGTTACTGATGGAACTCAAAGTGGTTTACAGGGGCGCATCAGCCCAAAAGGACCTTTCTGCTGGTGACAGCTCGAAGATTGTTTGAACTTACGGCACAACTAACCGGTTTACAAAATGCACTCGAAGCGGTTTTATGTTGTCCGAAACACTTATGCAGAAGCTCGTGTTGGGATACTGTAGTTTCAAAACTTGCCCTTAAGAACATAAGAACATCCAGTAAAGGACCTACTGGTGCACGATCGTTCACAGGACAGACTCGTTGGGTTTGTCTGAGTGAAACAGGTCCATGCTTCTCACAAGCAACTTAACCAAACTTAAATGTTATGGATAAAAAAAAATAACATTTACAGTTTTTCTTCTTCAGATTAAATCTTGGCTTACAGACAGAAATGAGTGCATCTCAAATTAACAAAGGAATTTCTAAAAATATCCATTTTAAGCATAAAAAACTGCATTCTGAAATCGTACAGTCAACACTGGTAAAGCCTTTAGGACATACAGCATTCTCTGTAGTAAACCGATTTACTTCTCAGATGCCTTGTTATATGTATTTTAGGACTAAAATATTAATTACACTACATAAGGATCAGACTGGATTGTTTTTGTGACATCAGCACTTTGTCTTTGCTTTTACAAGCATTTCCCCCTCTGTTTCTACAAACAGACACCTAACGTAAGGCTAAAGCTGTATTTCTGTCACACGCACCAGACTGATACTATTATCACATAACGCCCATTTTACCTTTTTATGTTAAGCTTCAATCAAATGTGATGTAAATATTTGACTTTTTATTACATCAATAAAACCTTATCCAACACTTTTCTTGCATTTAATAATTAAATGTCAGCGGTACTGAGCAGTTTAATTCAGACAAACATCTTGAAAATATGTTTACATGAACATTTTCTTAATGACTACAGTAAAGCAGAATTAAGTCCATAACTAAAGACTTAAATATTGATGAACCAGACTCCCACTGGTGAAGCGATACATGAAAAATGACACTGGAGGGGGAGAAAGTGCAGCATCCAAAACACTTCCAACAGACCGTGAAAAGACCAAAAATCTGTAACTATAAAAGTTGACATCATAAAAGGGATCAGTCCATTTGTAGAGGAGAGTTTGCTACACAAGCTGAGATGGAGATGGAGCTTTCATGAAGCTTCACAGCGAGGCAGATCCAGTCTCCTTCCAGAACCTCCAGAGGCTGCTGCAGAACAACAGCTGCCTGTTTCCAGTGAGAGTTCTGGTGGAGCGTGCTCACGCTAATCTCCTGGTCCAGATGGATGTGATACCAGAAGGGAACTGCAGTTAATCTCCCTGCAGATGTGGCTTGGACCTGTAAGACAAATTGTGCAGAATTAAAGTCAAACCAGAAATCTAGGCAGAGAGTGCATCACCAAGAGGTTCTACTCGCATCTTACCTTGACTTCTCTGCTGGTGTAGTTTGCGTTAGAATCCATAAGGTCCAGAACAAAGAGTTCTAGAGTCTCACTGAGCCGTCTGCACTTCAGTGTGGAAAAGTCCAGAAAGACATGAACGGGTACCTGACGAAGACACATTTTAATCTAGTTATCTGACAAAAAATGAGTTGATCTAGTAAATATAAACTGGAAATAGCCTTAAAAAGCCTGCATCACACTATTTCACACCTGCCAGAGCAACGATGGATGCAATATATAATAAAATATTACCGTTGGCACTATTGAGATGTCACTTTTTATGAAATAAGTTATTTTCAAGACCCATTCCTTTAACCAGGAAATAGGATGCTTGGATTGGAATATACCCCAACTCCCTCATGTGATTTCCACAATAGTACACAGCTGCAGACCCAGAGACCACAGATTCATGCTTGCTGCAGATTCACGCCATCATGTCCCACTCAGCAATTTCTAAGTGTTGGACTCAAGAAACCACCCGAATGAGGAGTGGGCTGCCGGTGTCTGTACAGGATCTGCTCGGGGTCCAACGCCCGCTGATGACGTCACATTACTGCAAATCTACTCGGCTTTCACACACACGTTTTGGCTTGGTGTATTTCAATAAAGTTCTTATATTTTATTTTGCTCCATTTCATCAACATCAAGAGCTTTTGAGGGTCACCGTTTATCATTTGCTTATATTTTACATTTCCTTTAGAAATTCAAACATATTTTCTCCAATAAATGTTGATTTTTGGACTACAGGACTACAACCGCTAAGACTACGACCGCAAATTTGTTCTGACCAATCAAAATCATAACGTGATAACGTCACTTCCGTAAGCTTCATGTTCAGCCAATCAACTACTTTGACGTCATCGGCAGTCGAAGGACCCCGAGCCGATCCTGCACCCGAGCAGATCCTGTACCGACACCGGAACAACCTATCCAACTGAATGCTTTAGCTTAGCAAAAATGTTCATAGGGTGTTTTCCCTGAGGAAATGGCATAACATGGCCAAAAGCTCCAAAAAGTGCACTTTGCAATCAAATAGGACATTGAAATAGAGAAATTAATTTGAGGGTAACATTTAAATATGAAAATGGTTTAATATAAACTTAACTTAAAAAAGGTCTTGTTTTGTTAATTAAGAACAAATTCAAAAAGAAAAGCTGCATATTTTTCACCTGAGTCATAATAATAATAATAATAATAATAATAATAATAATAATTAAAGCTGCAAGCAGCGTCGTTCGGCCCTCGCAGCTCCGCGCCGCTCCGGCCTGGCCGGCAGCCCGGGGCACCAGGGCATGTCTGGCAGAACAGAAACGTCAATCATCCCGTCACCGGAAACAGCAAATGGCCTCCTAGTCCGCACCTCACCCTGACTAAGCATCCCCTCTGAGCTCACCATTAAATTGAATTGTAAGGTTACGGCGTTACGCCAGAATTCGCCATGGCATCAAAGCCCCTCCCTTTCTGGAAAGCTATCAGATTTGAATGGCCATTACAGCATCATGAAGACAGTGCATGACCTAGGTGTCATGTTGACTAAATTAGAGGGGACAAATATGGGCATTTCAGCATAAAATAATAACTTCCTTTAGTCAGGGGGCGGGGCTTGGATGATGTCAGCTGTCCACATTGTCATTGTTTACAGATATGGTCAATGATCACACAGACAAAGTTCGAAAAAGATCTGATCATGCACATGGGAGTTATTAAGTCAAGTAATGGCGAAAGGTCAAAGTTTGAGGCTTAGCCACGCCTACACCTTTCAACTTTTGAAAAATCCGACGGTTGACTTTTTTCCCCTATGCCTTAAGAGTATATAGCAGAAGTTTGAAGGCGATTGGTGAAAAGGGCGAAGGAGCATCACTCTCCAAACAACGTGTGCGAAAACCACTAAATCGCGTACTTGGAACAAAATGGCCGACTTCCTGTGCAATTTTGTGCTTGGCTCCAAGAGACTTTTTTGTAGGTCCTGGGACACCACATTAGTGTACCAAATTTCGTAATCCTCAGTGAAAGCATGGCTTGGGGCTAATAGTTTAAATGGTCCTAGGGGGCGCTATTTCAGAAATTAGGCCACGCCCACATATTTCAGGTGTCTATGTCTCTTTGGGGTCAGACTAGGATCACTCACCAGAAGTTTCGTAACAATATCACGATAAATGAAGAAATGAGAGGCAAACGTATTTCCATGGCGTGATGGCGATTTTCGACATGCTCCCAAAGCCCCGCCTTTTTTTGAAACCTTCCAGTACTGGATACCAAGTGACCTCAAGTTGTCTACTGCTATTTGCCAGAGACTCCTGCCGATTGGGTAAAAGGAGTCCAGTAGGGAGCTGTGAAAAAAAGAGTGGCGCGGCGACAGGTCAAAGTTTGAGGCTTAGCCACGCCCACACCTTTCAACTTTTGAAAAATCCGACGGTTGAATTTTTTCCCCTATGCCTTAAGAGTATATAGCAGAAGTTTGAAGGCGATTGGTGAAAAGGGCGACGGAGCATCACTCTCCAAACAACGTGTGCGAAAACCACTAAATCGCGTACTTGGACCAAAATGGCCGACTTCCTGTGCAATTTTGTGATTGGCTCCAAGAGACTTTTTTGTAGGTCCTGGGACACCACATTAGTGTACCAAATTTCGTAATCCTCAGTCAAAGCATGGCTTGGGGCTATTAGTTTAAATGGTCCTAGGGGGCGCTATTTCAGAAATTAGGTCACGCCCACATATTTCAGCTGTCTATGTCTCTTTGTGGTCAGACTAGGATCACTCACCAGAAGTTTCGTAACGATATCACGATAAATGAAGAAATGAGAGGCAAACGTATTTCCATGGCGTGATGGCGATTTTCGCCATGCTCCCAAAGCCCTGCCTTTTTTTGAAACCTTCCAGTACTGGATACCAAGTGACCTCAAGTTGTCTACTGCTATTTGCCAGAGACTCCTGCTGATTGGGTAAAAGGAGTCCAGTAGGGAGCTGTGAAAAAAAGAGTGGTGCGGCGACAGGTCAAAGTTTGAGGCTTAGCCACGCCCACACCTTTCAACTTTTGAAAAATCCGACGGTTGAATTTTTTCCTCTATGTCTTAAGAGCAGATGGCAGAAGTTTGAAGCAGATTGGTGAAAATGGCGACGGAGCATCACTCTCCAAACAACGTGTGCGAAAACCACTAAATTGCGTACTTGGACCAAAATGGCCGACTTCCTGTGCAACTTTGCACTTGGCTCCAAGAGACTTTTTTGTAGGTCCTGAGACACCACATTAGTGTACCAAATTTCGTACTCCTCAGTCAAAGCATGGCTTGGGGCTGACAGTTTTAATGGTCCTAGGGGGCGCTATTTCAGAAAATAGGCCACGCCCACCGGATGTTCACATCAGATCTTTTGAGGGGCCGGACTAGGATCACTCACAACAAGTTTCGTGACGATATCTTTAGAAATGACGAAATGGAAGGCAAAAGTAAGGCCATGGCGGTACGCCTGACTTCGCCGCGCCGCCACAGCCCCGCCTTCTGCCGAAAACTCCCATAAAGTGACGCCAAGCAACCTCCACTTGTCTTGAGTTACCAGCTACAAGTTTGTGGTGATTAAGTGAAATGGGGCAATTTGGGACCTTTCACAGTAAAACTTGACCTTTTTGGTCCTGAGGGGGCGGGGCTTGTGTGATGTCATCATCCGACCATTCAATTTACTTTGTGGCTGGATGACGAATGACCACAGAAAGTTTGGTAATTCTATTCCTTTCAGTTATTAAGTTATAGCAATTTTAAATTTTTTGGCGAGTAGTCAAACTTCGAGGCCTGGCCCCACCCCTTCAACATATACGAAAACTCAGAATCCTTGTCTCATTTTGTTCGCCCATTCCTTCTGAGCAATTTTACACAAGTTTTGAGACGATCGTGCGAAAAATGATCGAGCAATCCAATCAGAAACGGACCCTAAAAACGGCAAAAACGGCTAAAAATCGCCATTTCAACCCAAAATGGCCAACTTCCTGTTTGATATTGACCATGCTTGCAAGAGACTTTTCTGTGCGGACTGTTGAGTTCTACAAATGTACCAAATTTCATAACTGTACGATAAACTAAGCTTTATGGAGAGGGTTTTTTTTCACTTTGTAGGGGGCGCTGTTCAGCCATTTTCTTTGCGATTTTTTTGGGACCTTTAAAATATCAAATTTTTCACCAGGCCTGAGAAGTTTGCAAAATATTGTGAGTTTTGGGGTATGTTAAGGTCCCCAAAAAGCCGTTCAAAGGGGGCACGGAATAACAAAAAATAATAATAATCAGAGCAAAAACAAGAGGCCTTCGCAGCGCTTTCGCTGCTCGGGCCTAATAATAATAATAATAATAATAATGCATTTCATTTGTACTGCGCTTTACATTTAAAATCTCAAAGCACTTACAAAAAAAATTATGAAGAATTAAAAGCTTTACTAAAAAGAAATGTGATATTTGTAAATCCAAAAACACTTTAATAACTCTCGAGGGAAATTAAATGTCGTTGTACCATGCCATACATTGTCATAAAATGTCATAAAATACCACACAATGTCATAAAATACCACATTTATTTATATAGCACCTTAACATTACAACAGCAAGTTGTAAAAATATACATCACTGAAATAAAGACACCTTAAAACACATTAAACAATAATGTCAAAAGCAAAGGAGGATCGACAACATCCATCCAATCTTCACATTCACTGCATTCAAAGCAAGAGACTAAAAGTGAGTCTTTAAACAAGATTTTAAAATGGGGAGCCTGTCTCACCTGTAGGGGCAAATCATTCCACGATTTACTCTCTAAAATTGCAAAAGCCTGGCATAGAAATCTAGACAAACCGCCCGCAGCAGTAGCAAAAGATTTACTCTGCAGGTCGGTCTAGCCACGATTGGTTGTAGTCTCAACAAGTCTACCATTGGCCTGAACAGTTTTGTGCCTGGCCAATCACAGTGCTCTGTTTGTTAAACAGGCTTAACACTAGAACTGCGATAGAGAAAAACTACAAACATGGCGTCAGCTCAGGAGCAAGTACTTCTTTGAAGCAATTTTCACATCAACTTTGAGCAATTTTGACTTGGGCTTTTCTTTCAGACAAGAGTTAATTAAGGTAC